GCTTTAAGGGTCATATTTAATTCCCTTTTATGTTTTTTTTGTGTTTAACTTTTTCATAGAAAAAAAAACTATGAAGCAATAGCTTTAAACTCTGCATAACTCTTTTCATAGCTGGATTTCTGTATTTCATTCTGAGCATAGTGTTGCCTTCAGAAAGCACAGTTCAGCTGACAAAGTAATTAAAAATAATTGCATTTTTAACTTGTATTCTTTATAAGCTTGAAGAGATTAAATATTCGGCTCATAGCTGCAATTATTAAATGTCCTATATTCTCTTGCCCATTTCTCTGTGGAAGGCTTAAAGTTGAGAATAAGTCGTCTTATGTTCCCAGATCATGGGGGGGGGGGGGGTTCTTTCCTTTTCTTTGTTCTCTTTCCATTTCTTTGTTAAGTCAATCAATTTTCCATCAGTCTTCTTTATGTAAAAACAAAATAGCACTAGTCTTTCTTTTGTGTGAAATTGTGGTTACAGTTTGAGTAGAGAAGCATATATAAATGATACAGGGAGTTTGTTCAGGGGATTCCGTCTTATGCAATTRTAGATTTCGGTTGCTGATTAAGCAGCTTCTGCAAGTCTGTGGTTTTAGTACCTAGTTCTAGTCTGAATACAGCATGGTCAGCCATGAGAAAGGTGGACATGAACTAGGGGACAGCCTGACTAAGAGGGAACCCACGAGGAAGACCAGAACCTGCATTAGTTCCTCACTGCCTCCAACTTCCAGGATCCAAGTGGGCTTCAGGAAAAGRGATGAATCCACCATGGGGTTAAGCACGTACCTGGTCCTGGGAGTGAGAGAAACTGAAAGGGGMTCCTGAGGGCTCCAGGAGCTACCTCGGGGGGAACAAGAGCTGCTGCCCCCCAAAAAYCAAGTCAGCCAGCAGTTGCAATCTGTAGATGCTGTGTCAGCATCCTGCTGGTCCTGTGGTGACTCTCTAAGCATGAAGAAAATATGGCCAATGATAAACCAGAGCAAGGTACAAAGTTAAGCKGAAGAAAATATTGTTCTGGCTTAGCTGTAATCATGAAATGTAAATCCACCAACGTAGTGAAGGAGGGAGGGAAGATTTGGCTTAGTTACTATAGCTTTTGTGTGTTTAACTTATTGTYTTTCTTTGTTTTGGTAGGTTAGAGAAAAGGGAAGTTGAGTAAGAACACTGCAATATTTAATTTCTGTACCAGTGGTTTGAATCTGCTTTACACTTTCCGTATTAACATTTAAAAAAAAAAAAAAAACAAAACTATACCGCTCTTGTAAAGTTGCACAGAGTTGATTAATTTGTTTACACCTCCCTCCTATATGTAAAGCTGGTAATAGCTGATCTGTRGAATTTTACTCAAGAAATAAAATATAGAGAGAAAATAATTTGCCCATTAAAGTCTCTCTCAGTCCCCCYTTTTTTTTGTTATTCTAAAAGAATAACATAGACTGGGTAATTTATAAAGAACAAATGTGTTTCTCATAGTTCTGGAGGCTGGGAAATCCATCCAAGACAGAGGTACAGGCTTGATAAGGATCTTCTTACTGAATTATCCTGCATCAGAAGGTGGAAGGGCGAGAGGGCACAGGAGCAGGAGAGAGGGACTAACTCCCACTTACACCAAACTTGCTCTCCCAATAGCAAAATCCAATTCTGTGACATTGACATTCATCCATTCATGAGGGCCTTTCCTAAAGGCCCCACATCTCAACACTTGTGAAGAGACAGAGTTGTGTTGGAGGTTAAGTTTTGAACACTTGGGCTTTAGAGGACACATTTGAAACATACAAAGTTTCTGGGACAACCAAAGCATCAGAGCGTAGCTGACTTGTGAATTAGGGAACTTGGTTCCCTCTCATCGCTGAGTAATCTCAAGTAAATATTTTATCTGTGCCACAAATGTCCTATTTGAAATCAATAAGAATATTGACTGTTTCTATTTTTTCTTAATTTTTCAAATTAGAAAACAATCTCATTGTATAAATAACACACATTTCTTACTGGAAATCCAGAGCTCCTATCACAAGTCCCAGAGCTTATTAGACCTTCTTCTAATGWAAAAGCCCCTGCTTCCAGGCTTGCTGATGTTCATAACAGATGAAAAACATGAAAAAATGAAGTGTTTGGGAGATGTTCTCTGGGATCCTGTATTTCCCAACATGCTGCACCATGCCCTTGCCTGACCCAGCATCTTTCTTGTTTTTTGGATGCTTCACAGTCTTTCTCACTGGGTGAAGAATACCACGTAAACTGCCTCAAAGAGCAGCATTCAGGAAAGAGGAAGGTAAAAATCCTTGTCTTTCAGTTAGAGGACATACAGAAGCAAGCATCTTTGTACTCTATTTCAAGCAGCTGAGTTTGCTCTATTTTTAATGTCATAGCATATGTAAAAAGTCTTTCATAGTTTTAGTTATTAAAATTTTTAAATATACAGAAATAATGGACCAGACACTCTTATAACAGATATTGTTGCTTTCTTATAATTTCAAATATGCATCCATAGTTATATTTGCATCTGCATACACCTACAGATTTGTCTAAAGCCCACTTTGCCCATCTCAGTTGTCCTCCCTACACCTCAGCGGTAATCACTGTGCTGAGGTTATGGTACCATTTACTCCACCTGTTTGAATCCATAAACAATAATTTATTAGATATTTAAATATTAACATAAATATAATTATAACATATATATCATCTTAGAACTTGCTTTTCTATCTGGATGCATAATTGAAAATATAAGCAATAATTTGTGTTCTTATAGAATTTATATATGGATATGTGATTTACCATTGTATTTTTATATAGCATTATATAGTAAAAATCTTTACACATTTGCCACTGAAGGATAATTAGGATATCACTGTAAGCCAGGGATGGGAAATTTGTGTTACCAGACTGTGTTTGGTTTTGGCATAAACGTTACTGCCACCCTGAACACAAATACATTACTAAGGCTCTAAAAGTTGCATTTTCCCCTTAATAGCAAGTATCACTATTTAATTTGTAATAGGCACATACCACTATTCAACGCTTCACCTGAGAATAATATTTTGTTATGGTTCATGTGTTTGGGAAAAATTGAAAGTTTTGATTGAAAACTATTCAGATAATTGAAGTGAAATATGCTTAGACTGTAAATGTCAACTGTTCCTCTTTTCTAAGTCCCTTTTCTCCCTCTCCTTCTCCTCTTCTTTTTTCTTCCTTCCTTCCTGCCTCCCTTCCTTTATTTCTAAATAAACACTTTATGTTTATTTTGATGCTAGATGATGAGATGAATGAAATTCATTGCTTCTGATCAGCTGGTTCCTTTTGAAAAAATTAAAATCAAATCACAAATGTAGGATCCTTGAAGGAGTTAATGCAATTCACTGTTTCAAAGTAAATTAAGTCCTCAGATTACATTGGTGTTATTAACTTCTTTCCTAGACTTGACTGAGCTTTGTAGGTCATCTCAATTACAGAAAAATAWTTTTTAGATTACTTAATAAAAATACAACTAGCTATACATAAGTGGAAAATCAGTATCCWTATATTCTATAGCAATATAATATTCACAGCCCATAGGCACTAATTTTCAGACATGCCATGCAGGCTGATGATGCAAAGATTATCTTTAAAACCCTTTTATTTGCCTTATGAATAAAATCCATAGACAGTGGACCTGATCACACAGAATTTGTAACTAGCAAAATTGGTACTAAGGTTTGACACAGTCAGTCTATATTCAGAATCCATTTTCTTAACTACAAAATTACCCTGATAGAGAAAACTGCCAGTGGTCCACAGGGGAAGAATACAACATCATAAAATGCATTTTCAGTAAGTTATTTCCAACAGTTGCAATTCCAAAATAACATTTGCCTCTTCAAGTGATTGGGTACTGAGACTCAGGTGATTAAAAAGGCTTAAGCCTGTACTTTTGCTTATTGTCACAAAGAAAGAAGAGTCGAGCAATTCTCTAACAAACTTATTATATAATCACAGATTCCTATGAGTTGAATATAGGACAGTTGAMAATTAAGGATTTTTTTTTTAAGGATTCAGTTGAATTTCAATAACACCCACTGGTCTTTCTGCCCTACATGTAGACAGCTACTTTAAAGGGTGGTTTTCATATTCTAGGATAGGCTTTGGGGATTTTCTGAGGGAGCATACCCTGGATTACTGTCCTTTTAAGCCTGAAGATGCCTRCCACCCCACCTTTTCTGTGTTTATAAATGTTGACTGACTTCATGAAAGATTCCAAAGACAAATAGTTGAAACTTCTCTGTCTTCTACACTCAAGGCATTTGCATTATATAAAATGGAATAATCACACATACATTTTGAGCACAGTGCCCTAGAATTATAACAACTTAGGCATTCAACTCAATTAAAAATGCATAAAAAACTGAGCTGTATGTTGACAAGTAACATTTTTGATCCACCAGTTGCCTGGACACATGCAGCAATATGTGTCCTTTCAAATAAGTTTATAGTTAACAGCAGTCAGCACAYGGCCATGAAAATAAGTTCTCCATCGTGGCCAAGAGATCATTAGCAATGCTATCTAACACCCACATTACATTTACAGATATTAATATCCAGATAAGATTCTGCCTTTAAAAATATGTGTGCAATGGAGAATTTTGCCAACTGGACACAAAAGAGATCTTCTCAACCCTCCCATTATTCAGAAAGTAATTAAAATCAATTAACTATGTTACAATGAAGGTTAAAATGACAAAATTATAATTTGGTGGTGAAAGTATCAGAAATTAGAGTCRGTGATTAGTGTCTTTCAATTATCATTGACGTTCGTGATCTAGGAGACTTAAATGTCAAATGTGTTTAATTTAATGTTATTACATTAGAAAATCCCATTTAAAAACCTAGAGGAGTTAAAATGTTTTAAATATAGAGTAAGTATAAAGGTGTTCAATATGTTTATCAGATTATTTAAAAATGTTACTGGTCTTTGGACAATACTCTTAATGCCTTAAATTTTCATTAAACTAATTTTAGTGGGAAAAGATAATACTCRTTTTACAACAAAGATTTCATAAATATGAATGCAAACACAATACATTATTGTGAACAAGTGACTCCAGCGTCTTCAGAGTGTGAACAGACTCTCACACCCCATTGCCTGATATTACACTCTTCAATAGATGACTCTCTCCCAAAACAAAATACTTCGTTCAGCCATATTGGACCAGTCCCTGCAAAAATCAGATACAACTGCATTAGTAAGCATAAGTAAGTGGTCATGTGTAGTGGGACAAAGCCATTAGCCCATTCACTGATTAAAACCAAATATTGATCATTAAATACATGCAAGTTCTGTGCTCTCTGTTAGAATTCCAAAATGAATCCCCTGATTCAGAGAACTTTATACCCCAGTCAACATGTAAACTACTAATGTACCAAGAAATGAGAGTTATAACAAAGGTTCCTATGCAGGTCTATGAAAGCACAGATTAAAGGATAACTGATTCTTTTTCTAAGGGTGTAAAGAGATTGATTATTAATCTAAACATAGGGAAGGAAATAGCTCCAATAGCAATGGAGATATGTGATAACCAGATGATCTACGTGTCAAACTATGCAACTGTTTTTCRAAACACCCTGGGGCATGTCTGGAACATAAGAAATACCGGCGGGAGGACTCCAGAGCCACATCTTCATTATTTTTAGCTTCCAATATGTTTCATTGAGCTGTGCCTAGTTTGCCAAAATATTATCTAATTTTAATCCAACTAAAACTGATCCAATCAGGAAAGGATTTACAAACTACACTGTAAGGAACCATGGATTGAAAATATTACTAACTACAAGAACAAGCAAATAACATGAAAATGTCAGGGCTAACACACATGTTCTTTGTCTGAGATCCTTCTCAGGCCTTTATAAGAAAAACAACGGCTGTCATCAGTAAGCTACCTGGCAGATATTTAACTAAATGAATATACTTAACCACCACTTCCAAGTAAATACTCCATTTTTACCAATAAGCAAACAACTCTATTTAAAAGAAACTCATGCAATGAAAAGAAAAGCTAATTTTAAAAATAAATGTTTGGATGTGTTATTCCCTAAAGTTTCATAAGTAGATCACTTATAAACGTTCTCCTTCTTTTTTATTCTTGAGATAGTTCAAACCATTGSAAAACTTTTAAATAAATGGTTTCATCAGGTTTTGTTAGCTAGATAAAATTGCAAATCTCCTGAGGAGTTTTCAAGAACACTTCATGCCATAAAGATACTGATGGTTCCACACTGAATTTATCAAAATCTTTTCAAAACTGGTGGATAATAAATAAATATTTTAATACTGTATGCATAATTATGATGATTTTCCTAAAGTTGGACCAATATGATCTTGAAAGGTTCTCTTTCYGTCACAAGAGCTATATAAAACATATTTAGAAATAACTTCAACTTAGACCTCTGTGCATCTATAGAAGACTATTTTTTTTTCAAAGAGGCATGCATGATGATATTACTCTCACCAAGTTTTCAAACATTCTGTGAGCTCAATAAATAAAATATAATAATATGTACATGGTTAATAATGTGCATAATTGTATAGTGGTTTGTGCATGTATAAATAATCAGCTCTTGGTGCTTTTGTTATTTACTATGTGGATAACACTGGAAAGAACCTTAAAAATTTATGGAGGCTTTCCATCTTATGTAAGTATATATTAAAAAGTTATTTCAAGTAATAAGGGCATCATAAAAATGCTTGATGTATTAAAATAATTAGTCTCTGGGCATCTAAAACACAAAATACATTAATCACTGGAAGAAGGAAGATTCATTAGAAAGGTTAGGTAGAAAGTGGGGTCCATGTTAAAAAAATTCTTAAACTTTGTATTGTTAAGTCACCAAAAAAAAATGACATCATCAGATGCACATTTTAATATTGTATGTCTGGCAAAAGATTGGTAGTTGGACTGAAGAAGAAAGAATCTGTAAGACAGAAGGAAACTTAATACATGTCTATATAGAAATTTTTAATGACATGCTTTTATTTGCTCTTAGAATTGAACAGAAAGTTTTGGTTTTCACATATCAAATAAATGATACATTCATTTAATTTAYGAGTAATCTATGCCTTCCCTAGAAAGATCCAAGCATGAGACAAAATTTATTTTTGGTTTGCATTATCAAAGTAACTATGAACATTGCATTTTTCATTTACCATAACAGTAATTAAACAATCAGAGTCCAAACTATGCTTCTACTATGGGTTGTTTGATTGTTTTTATGGTGTTCGTTATAGAACCCATGGCTAAGCAAAAGCTCTATCACTGAACTACAACCCCAGCCACAGTGTTTCTATTATGAAAAAACAATGATTTTTCCTGGGCTGATCAATTGCAAAAATAGTAATAGTAAACTGAAGAGCGCAACAATTTTTTGAAGTGTTTATAACAGTATTGAGTTTTTCCAGAAACCCCTCCRAAAGCACTTTTTGGTTCTCAAATTGCTTTTGTTATGTGGGGCATATTCCCTTTTGTTTATGCATATTTTGAAATGTGAATAYGTTTGTGTGTATTTCCTTTTAGGTGTATAAAAGAAGTTTTGGAAAACAAACAACTGGGTACCATGGTACATACCTGTAATCCCAGTGGCTAGGGAGGCTGAGGCAGGAGGATCAAGAGTTCAAAGCCAGACTCAGCAACTTAATGAGGCCCTAGGCAACTTACAAGACCCTATCTCAAAATTATATATATAATATATATAATCACTGRGGATGTGGCTCAGTGGGTTAAATGACCTTGGGTTCAATCCACAGTATCAAATATGAAAACAAAACAAAAAACAAAACCAACAACAATAGTAAGACAATACTATCTACAGATAGTAAGACAATACCAGTGCCAAAATGGAAGGGAGTCAARACACTAGGATCTTTATAAATTGTGCACATCACATTTATGGACATTTATGTGTAAATGAAGAAAAGAGAARTTTTGGTGAAAACCATGACTCTTATACTTCTGGGAGCACAAGAATAGAAGGCTCCATGGCCTCTGTCACTGGCTACTGTGAGRTTTTTCCTCTATATTTTTATGAATCCAGTCACTGGATTAAGTGCAGAATTTCTAGACTCCTAGAAAAGAGAATGAAAGTGAGAATTTCCTATGGGCTGTAGCACCRTTCCAGCAGGGGCAGCACAGGGAAGAAATGACTTAGTCAATTGATGGGCTGATGTGTGAGTGCCCATTTTTTGACGCTGTGATTAAGGAATTATGAATGTCAGAATARCAAGGACGTGGTGATAATAATGGAAATTTAAGCTTACTCTTTTAAGGAATTAGTATGTTAACAGGAAGCATTCAATGTCCATTTATCATATTATCTCATTGAATCCTCAAATAACTGTTAAAAAAAATTAAGGTCAGATATCATGCCATTTTATCCTTGAAGCAACTGAAACTCAGAAAGAATAAGAAACTTTTCCCAAGGTCACAGGGCATTCTTAACCTGTTTCTACCCAGAGCCAGTGCCCTTTATCAACGATGTACTGCACAGCCTTGTGTTTTTAGACAACCATGACAGAAATCTATTTTGAGTATCTACAGGAGTGAACAAGACCAAAATCCTTCACACTTGCCCTGACCTTCTACTGGGCCTTAAGTTCTAGGGTTGTGAAGCAACTGCACACACATGTACGGTGGCAGAGTGATATCTACTTTTAGAACCTCTTATTGAACTTCTTTTTTCTACTGGGGACACACAGATGTGATAAACACTTGTAGGTTTTGGTAACTGTGTCTTTTGCTATGCAGAAAAGATTCAGGCACAGCAAACATGCTATGAGTGCATTTGTATAAGTCGATATGCTAGGTATTTTCACATACAATTCTAAGTGTTTCTTCTCATAATAACCCTGAGAAAGGATGGCAAATACTTCCATTTCACAGATAAACTGTCACTCAGAAARGATATATGACTTTCTTAAAACAGCAAAGAATACAGCCAAGTATACTGACACTTAACTTAATGATATTCATTGGCTGTGTAGATGCTTAAATAGTTATAAAAATAGCTTCCAAATATTTGTTGTTGTTGTTTTTATATTAATATATTCAAGACTATGGAGCCTAAGGGAAATTTTTATTTAAARCATATTTTCTATCTCATTCCAAATTGTTTTCTGCATTAAAAAATTAATGCAAGGGTAGCATAAAATTCATAAAATTTTATACTCACATGAACCTACAAGATTAAAAAAATGGGGTTTTTAAAGATAATAACAGTTATTCAAGGATTTTTGTTGTTGCTGCTTTTTTTTTGCCTCTGAAATATATTTCCTACTCAGTGGAAAATTATGTAAATTGGATGTGTACATTTTAGATACATTTTTATTCTTTAATCCTGAATTTTTCAATCCTATCTATTTATATCAGTATTCATCATCTACATCATGTATTTCTATGTATCTGTCATCTGCTCATGTCACCTACGTATCTATATATCTATTTCATCTATCTATCTGGGCATCTATGCATCTGTGACTTTCTTTAAATTTGAGGGCTATAGGAAGGACAAGTGGACTTATTTTGTTTCTAACAGCAGGAAACAATAAAACTGTTGTCTATGGCTTCTGTAGTTTTATGAGCTTGGTTTGTGATGCTTGAGAGTATAGTGCACAGGTAATTATATTTCCTATTAACCTTTTGTGTGAGAATGATTGAGTAAGTGTGTGTGTGTGTGTGTGTGTGTGTGTGTGTGTGTGTGTGTGTGATGCTTAGGAAAAACACAGAACCTCATACATGTAGCTCTACTACTGAGCTACATCCCCAGCACTGCCTCTTCAAGTTTAAGTGATTTTGGTATCTTTAATCTGATCTTCAGTTGGCTATCACTGCTATGGGAAAAAAAGGTAATTGGAGTTCATACACTGACCAGACACTCAGTAAAATGATGAGATTTGAGATTAACTGCTGAGTAGATGGAAATGGAAGCAAAGATTATTAATGGTTAAAAGCATCTGGATGTATTTTCATTACATCTAGTCATGGATGGGTGACATGAATTTTACCACTTTGATGACTTATCAGGGAAGTGCTTTAAGAAGACCTTCTCCTTTGAGGAAAAAAAAATATTATGTTTGGAATCAAAGTTGAAAATGCCATTGGGATGGAAATATAGCAGATCATGTGGACATAGGTTATGGTATGGATGCTTTGCGGTTCTGGAGAATCCATTTATTTTCTCTCAGTGTTGTCATATGCAGAAAAAAAGGAGTGGGGCTCAAATAGTTCTAAGATTTCACTTACTTTCAACATCCCATGAGTCTAAAGAAGATTCTAAAGAAGAAAACTCCTTTAAAAATGAAGTTCTTAAGGATAAAGGGTTTAGAAGGATATTCTATGTGGTGAAAATAGTGTGGCATGAGTTCCAGGTTCAGGAATGAAACACCCCCYACAATGGGTGTGTAAATTTGGGCAAGTTTTGTGACCTCTACTAGCTATACTTAATATCTATTTCTCACAAGCTCTGTGAGCACTAAAGGAGATTATATAAATAGTACTTAACAACTGATTCTCTCCCATTCTTAGTACTATCTTTGTTACTGTAAGTAACAAAATAGATATAAACCCTATAGGGTTTCCAAAATACCCAACATTCCTAATATYTACATTTCAAAACCTTCCATGGGAGGGAGAAGAATTATGTAAAACTTGAAATTCTTAACTATTGATATTTTTTTATTTTKGGGGGGATTATTTTACTCCCATTCCCTATTTAGTTCAGAGGTGTGGAGTTACACTTTTTTGGTTGCTTGCTATTTTTCCTTRCATTTAAAAACAAAAGTCCACTATAAAATTTGTTATGGAATGTGAAAGTGGTAATATAAAACAAAGCATAATGAGCTAAGAATGAATAAAAGTTGGCACTTAATGTTTAAAATTTCCTTTTGCTTCTGTTTTGAAGTTGGAGTTCAGCACTATAAACTTAAGATGAATTAGCTACTCCTAGTTCAGCTCTTAGTTTTCTCATCGGAAACCACATAGGCTCAGACATACCTGAACAAATTCCCTTAGGTAGTACCACTGTCTGATAAAACTCAACCGAGTTTGCTACAGGGAGACCACTGGAACAAGAGGTGGATAGGAAGGAGAAGTGACTCCCCTCCCTTCCCTGCCCTACACAATGATAAATACCAGATGGCTCTTAGTACTTCCTTAATTTAACTGGTTTTGTCTACTCAGGAAATAGAAAGAACATTCTACTTCATGCAAAAGGTGCATCCAAATGAAAGAACCTATTTAAAGGAGCATGCTTTAAGCTTTATTCCAATAAATCATTTTGCTTGCAGCTGCAAAACTAATTGTTCTTAAAGCTAACAAGGATTATCACTTGTAAGCCAGGTTTGCTATTTTAAAACCTGAAAAAAAAATGGAGGGGGGTCAGGGAGCCTGTGTCCAGAAAATGATATTCTTTCTGTAATGGAGGAATTACACGAAAGGGATAAATTTAAATTTTTCTCTTTTTGTTTTAATTTTGGTAATTATGTACAATATAATATTAATCTTATTTTTCTTATTTTCCTAAGAGAATAATAATTAGAACTCTCATGCATGTTTCTCTTTTATTCCTCTACATATTCACTCATATTTCTAAGTTTCCTCTTCTGCCTCTATTCTGCCTTCAAAATTGCTTTTTTTTTTCCCCACTCTTGTGGGTAAAACTGTAAATTTAAAGTAGAGGAGTGAAAAGACAAGGGGGAGTCTAAATAGTTTTACATAAAAAGGTTGTTCAGCATGTCTAATCCCAAAGCAGCTTATAATGTAAGCCTGTCTCTTAAAATATAATATCCAACGAAGCAGATCATAAAATTTACTTTTCAAACACTTTTTTCCCCTTCAGAACAAATAACCTTGGTTCTATTATGTCTTTGTCCCAGTTCATCTTGCTTTATTATTTAAAATTCTCTTAATCATTCTTTAGTTGTTTGGTATTGAACTGCAGACAGAAAGCTGAAACAAGAGCTGGACCAATAGAAATAGGGAGATGATAAGAGCACTTCTCACACCTTTGTACAATGGAAAATCACATTTACATTTCTGACTCTTGGAACATCACCAATGTCTCTATACCATATAATACTAACCTGACTCTTCTTTCAAAAAGAATAGTAAATGAATTTATAATTATACAGCATATTAGCTGTGATCTCTATTAGTATTGAACAATACTATGGGGTTTTGTGGTGATTACTTTCCATATGCTAGTGCACTTAAGATTCAAAGTAAATCTGCCAGATTGATATTTTTTTTTAAAGAAAGGAAACTGGAATTCTGTGGCATGAGTAGCAGAGCTAAGGTTTCACCTCTCTCATATTCTTTAACAAAGCTCCTAGTTTTTCCAATTTGCTTTAAAAGGTGCTCAAAAAATACAAAAGGAAAACCAACATCCTGATAGTACCAAGTAAACAATKTAACATGAGACTAAACCCTATTTTTTCATTCCTTATTGAAATAGGAAATATTAATTCCCAGTATTTCAGGATACTTACTTCCAAACTTTCTTACCAGTGCTTTAGACCAAAAATTGCTAGAGGTATAAGCAGGAATAAATAAAAAGCTTTGAGGAAAAAAAGCATATTTCACTCGTGAGCTTAGACATTAAAGTTAATGCAATCTAAACAATAACCTYTGGAACTCCAAGGGGAAAGCAAAGAAGCAAGTCTTCATGCTCAGAGAAGAAATAAARCTAGAGTACCATACATCGTGTTTTGCCAAAGGTTATTAGTTCCCCATGAATTRAATTACATATATTACTATTGTTGTTCTCAATTTGGTTTTCTCTGTAATAGATAAAAAGTTTACCTGAAGASACAAGAGATTAATAAACTGTACTACTGGGTTTCTTATAGAAACAAAGCTAAATGCAGAGTTGCCAACTCTCTGGACAATGAAAGCTACCAAAGAACTCATCTTGATTAAAGGCATTTTAGGATATTTTTCTTTTTCAGATTAAGYTTATCAATACTGATTAAATTATCTGAACAACTGGTAAATTCTGYATTTCACTTTGCCACAGTGTTACATTCTAAGAAGCCAAACCATCAACACTTTGTATTTTCTTAAACTGGAGAATTTATTCTGACAGGTGAATAAGACCTTGAAGGGAACTGTGTGTCCTATGTTAGTACTGCAGGTGTCTGCTTCACAGATGCTCACATTCAATGGAAATGTTTTATATAATTATGTATTCAAAATAAAGAGCCTTTCCATTGTGTACACCTTAGTTATTATAGAAATGAATTTTCACTCCATAAAATATTTGTAGAAATGCAGACTGGCAGTTCAGACTTAGTTAGGAGATTGGCTGCATCATTTGGTCCTCTAGTGGCCAAGGTTTGGGGGATATTTTTTTTGTTTATTCCCCCCCCAAAAAAAATTGACCTTGAAAACATTTCTTTGGGGTAGGTAAATTTTACAGGTGCAAAAAAGATTTAGGAATATAATTTGGAGCCTGAGAAACAAGTTCTGAAAGAGTGTGGATAGAAAATTTGGAAACTTCCAACATCTATCAGGTAGTAGAAAATTAAATATATTTTCCTTTTTTTTTTTTTTTTTTTTTTTTTTTTTACATTCAAACCTCTAAGGCACAAGTGAAAATCTTGTAGCTAGGGGCTGAATCTGGATACATAAATACTGCACATTACCACTCTATATTATCTGTCTAGTCTCTTCATGAAATTAAAATATCCTCCTGGTCTGTGAAGGCCTCAGAACCTCAGATCCCTGCTTAAATCTGTCTCTTACATTTGATATGAGGAYTCATTTACATAAAGGAATAAAGGAGGCAGCTATGACCTATTATCAATATTATTTAGACATTTAGTGCAATGCCTRGCATATACTCATTACTCACTAAATTGTAGCATAATGTCATTTAATATCTTTATGCATTTAGAAAGGCTATTTCATCTTATTCAAGTCCTCTGATATAATGATTTGACATGCTCTCCTATTTTATCACTATAGATAAGGTTATCTGGAAATGCTCCTATTTTGTCTTTATAATTTTACATACACTTTCCTTCCCAWTTTGCCAGATTGCCTACATCTATCTAGAATAATAACCCTTAGGAAACTAAGAAGGTTACATCTTATTTTTTGTCAACATCCATTTGAGACAAAGTATCAGATTGAAGTGGGAAATACTTATTAAAATGCTTGGGTGTGGGGCTATCTTTTCCAATTATCTATGTCATTTAGAATTGCAGCATCTGTGTATGTTTATTTATACATAAAGCTTAGCCTAATATGCCAATTTGGAAAAAATGACAGTAAAAGTTTCATGGACATACGTTAAAACATTCTGCATCCTGCTAATACATGCATAGAGCAGTATACTGAGTCATCTAGGTGAAATACACCAATGTGTATGCAGCCAAAGAATTATTTAATGTTTTATTAACCTCAAAACCAGGTTTCTCATCTTTCTCTTAAGGAGCACAGGCCAGAAACAGTAGGGACAGAAAGTCTATGCAATTACGTCTCTCCCATGGTTTTTCACTGTCCTGGGTGAATACAAGTAGTCAGTCAGGGTGAATAGTATGTCTCATTTCTATGAGACTTCATGGGAGGTACACCTAAGGCTGGTGCTTTTCAGTCACATGGAAAAAAGAATATTAGTAAGCATATATATTGCCCAGATAGATGCCCCCCCAGGTGTCACCCAGGATGTGCCATGCCTTGTCAGTAATTCATTATGCTCTACTCTTCTTTATCTGCCTTATCAATAACAATATTTCCCTCTATGTCAATATTCTTCACGAACCAATTGAGTCTAAATGAAATTTAAATATTTGGGTTGCTTTAGTTTAAATATGAAATATATTTGTAACATCCCTTTCTTTTTATTTCTGTTTTCTAGGATTGACCATTAAAAATCCTACCTGGAATTCTTTTCTCCCATCGYATGGCTCCTTTCCCATCTTGGTCCCACATCATTAAAGAATGTTTACATTTCATGTTTTATTTAAACAAGATTGTATTTCAATTACCTTGTCCAAAATGAGCTCCCTTGTGCACGCTTTGAACGCCTTGGTATCCCARACTCCGGCAGATGACTTGTCCAACACGTAATTCCCATCGATCGTCACAAACTGTGCCCCACTGACCGTTGTGGAAGATCTCCACCCTGCCCTCATGAGGCCCACTACCGCCCACCAGCCGAACTGTCTTGGACTGAGCTGTGAAGTCAATAAATAAATAAATAATAGGATTAATTATGTGCACTTTGTTTCATAATGCATTTTTCTTTTCAAAAAAGTGTTTTAGCATGCTTTTTTTTTTTTTTCAATAAGTTCCACTATGGGAATAAATATTAAACTTTCTAGCACCACCTATTGCTCAAGAGTTTAACTGCAAGCATCACATTGGTAAGAGATGAGCAAAATCCATTCTAACATTTTTATGTTCTATGTATGAGAACACTTCAATGATTATGTTTCCGTGAGCTTAAAATCAATAGTTACACGTTTCTTAAAGTTTTAAAAAATTTTCATACTATTTAAAAATGTATAATAAAATGATTCAGTATTTTCCTGACACATTTTTAACACACAATCTTGAACACACAATCCAGAGATTTTCAGTGGTACAGGATGTCAAGGAGCAGATTATTTTATAATACCAGAAACAAAAACATAGCAAATTTCCTATCTTTTGCTAAGAGAAACAAGGTACAACCAGGAACAACATTCATTTAGAAATGGCAGGGGCATTCCTTCTTATTAGGTTTCTGGATTTTTTCCCCCCAAACATGGGTGCTGTRTATGTGTATGTATGTGWGTCCTCTTGCATGCATTTGGATAGAAGTTAATGATATAATCAGAAAGTTCRTGGGTATTCTGAAAAATGACTAGAGCACTAAGCTTTACAAAGAAATAAACCGTGTTCATAATTATAAGAGTAATTTTGTTTTGTAATATCTAACCAATGAAAGTTATCATATGTATGATGTTTTGAAAAATTTTGGTCATTCTACAGAGAGATTCACATGAATTTCAAATGTTTCTTTCCTACTTTAAAAAACAAATATATACATTTTTCAACCTAGGGGCAGATAAATGAAAGTATACAATTAATAYAAAGTGATTTATCTTGAGTAATGAAGTTTTTTTAAATAACCTATGCTATTCCAGTGAGTATTTGTTTAAAAATTCATCTGTGAAGAATACCATGAAATTTAAAGGAAGATGTTTTTAAAAATGTAATTAATACTATATACAATTATTAATATTCTTAATAATCATAAAAAGTCAATGAATAAATACAGTTCTATTTATCTCTTTTAAATATAAGCCTGAGGAACACTATATTATAAAAAGATCAAGAAGTAATTATCATAACAAAAATATCTGTCTAATGTGAAAATGGAGTTAGGGTATAGTTTTCAGAGGTCAATTAATTGAATTCAGTAACATTTTCCCCCCAATTTAAGAAATTTAGTTGAACCAGTAAGTCAATGACATGTAAGAAAAATTGAACRTATCCCATTACAAAACTAACTGAGCCACTCAGAAATATAAAAAGGTGACCTGCTAATATATATTATTATAATTATTTTCTTGATTCTTCCAAATGTAATTCCGTGCTAAATACTGAATTAATATAATCATGCCAAAGTGCATAAGTCATTCCTTACTCAATAAGCATAAGTTAAAAATATTTTTGAAATAGAAATAATTTGTAATTAAGGTATTTAAACTTTCAATTACTGWGTAAAATACCTGGGTGACCCAATCATTCACTATAATTGCCTACGAAAATGAGAAAGAATAATCTAAGAATGAATTGTGTAAAGCTTTTCAAAATTAGAACMAACTTTTATTAACTTGTGTCATGTCCAAATGCTTATTTTTATGTGAGTCAAATATATCCAAGCCTAATGTATTTATCATACATGCTATGAAAAGCAGGAATATTCAAACATTATGTGAACTTGGCTGTCTCATTGCCCAAACYAGTGTATGTAGGCATTCTCAGTGTGCATTCTTTGCTTTTTACTTCTCAAAAAATATCATTAATGAGTCTTGCTTGTCCTGAAACAGTTGTTCTCAAACATTAATATGTAACAGAATCATAAATTGCTGGCCCCACAACCAGAATTTCTGATATAGTGGTCTTGAATGGGGCCTGATAATTATTACTTTTAACAAGTTTTCAGGTGATGCTGATGCTGTTGGTCCAGATATGACACTTTGAGAAACCCTAACTAGAAGATCACATTACATACTTTTAGATATTTAAGAGAGGATGCATGTTATATCAGAAATAGCTACCAATGCTTATAAAAGAATTATAAAATAATTATAAAATAATTTAGTTTCATTTATTGCAAAGAGAACGACTGCTGCTTTCTCAAATCCTATCTAYGCTCACAGGATTCTAAGAGGGAGGAAGTCCTTCTACCAAATTCTTTAGGGCCAAAATGATCAAATATGTTTATGCCTATCTGTCACCTGAAATATTTTTCAATTATAAATCAACTATTGACAGGTGATCATTCTTTGCTAATCCTTAGTTATCTCTGAACTAATAAAGAGGACTGAGGCAAGTCAAGACTCAGTGGAGAATTGACATCCCATACCATTGTGCTACTCTGTTTTCATGGAGAAAAGTTTGTTTTGTCATCAGTCTTAATCACAGCATTTCATATAATCTTAGTCACAGCATTTTATTCTGTTAGGTTGCAGATCAGATTTTTTTCTGATTTAACTAATTCATCATTATATGATATCTATACTTCCTTGGCATCAAGCTAATATATTTAGTCAAATGGATTTTTTCACACACACACACACACACACGTATTTGTATATATGTATATATGATGGCTGTCCTAATTCTCTTTTTAACTTTATTAATATAGACTTTTCCAGATTCAAATCAGATAAACACAGAAAAGCATTGAATATGTGCCTGCTGAATAATTTTCTGTATTAATGATAACATTTTAATTGGTGAAAAATGAAAACAGAAACCAAATAACAAAAATGAAAAGGATAACATAGAATTAAGGAAAATGTGATATCTTGTGGAACTGAGATATAGTTCACAGTTAGGTATCTGGAACTGATGAACTAAGACAAATCTGCTCAGAACTACCCAACTGTTATCCAGGATTCTATCTGTAGATTGCTCCAATCTAATCTTTTCTTGCAAGCTGTATATCTTTGCTCTCCAGTTTGCATAGTGGAACTTCACTAACAACCCTTACTTTGTGTTATGTGGTGTCTTTCTTAGTGGCACTTCTAATGATCCAGGCATGTTGTCCAGGGCACTGTTTGGGAAAGATGCCCACATTTAGACTAAATAGCTTGGGTCAAATATTTAAGGTCACCTGCAATAACATGGCTCTCCTGGAGTGAGGGTGGGAATTCATCCCTGTTAAAGGAAGAGTTTTAAGCAGACAAAATCTTAAGTCCATTCTGTAAAAGATATTTTAATAATCTTGGTATATTTGTGCAATATTAATAATATTAGATGTTTAGTGCTATAACTTTTTGTATCTAAAACTGTAGAGTATATCTGTCATTACAAATTCAGGAGATTTTTAATTTCCCATTTAGCAGTTATTCTTCTTGAAGAGGAGCTATGATTCAACTATGATGAGCTTCTGCAGAAAGACAAGATCTGCCATGTAGTTTTAGATATGAGATTAGTTAGGCTTTAATATTTACAAACACAAATTTTACCTTATGGAGGGACTCTTCTGGACCAGTAGTAACTGTGGTCCACTAGCCCATTCCAACCTGATTTTTGTTTTGCACATTAAGTTTTATTGGAATACAACCACACTTATAGGTTTATATATTGTCTGTGGCTGTTTTCAGGTTACCAGAGCAGAGGTGCATAGTTGTGATAGAGACCATATAGAATGTAAGACATATATTTGCTATCTGGTCTACAGAAACATTTGAGTGCATCCTGGTATAGTTACCAAGACAATAAACAAGAATGAAAGAGGATTTAAGTAGGGATACTCCTAACAATTGACTCCTGGGATAAAGGAGGTCATGACTGATCTCTGCCCACCTCTCCAGTCAAACCCTTTGAAAAGTTCTCCACCTCTACATTCTTAGGCTTTGTATGCCAGTTATGTAACTACTCACATTTTCTATRTAAGTCTTACTCTGTTTGATTTCTTTCTTTATTTCTTTGATACAGGGTCTCACTAAGTTGATAAGGGCCTTGCTAAGTTGCTGAGGCTGGCCTCAAAACTTGCAATCTTCCTGCCTCAGTCTCTAGCCACTGGGAGTACATGCATGTGCCAAGGCGCCCAGCTTAACTCTCCTTGATTTCTGAGGCTTTGGTCCCTGTCTGAAATACATTTTTCTTCTTTCCCTACTTCCCCTCTCATTTCTCCACCCTCCATCCCAGGTATGGTAAAGTATCATTTTGGGGTTCCTATAGCACTACTGGTTTGTACAAAAGCATCAAGACCTTGTCTATTTTCCCCAATTGACTTAAGATCTTTATGGTTATCTCTTTAGCACCCAACAGTGTGTAGGTTGTCACTTAGTGGTCACTTAATGAAAAGTTATAGTATGTGTGCATGAGGGGTGGTAAGCTCCTCTTGGTATGGGTTTGTGGACTGCATTACCTGAGTGGATTATATTGGCAAGTACTTAAAGATGAAAGAATAGAAGAAACAAAATTTAGAGTTTTTCAAATATCTAGAGGAAATACAGTTCATATGTGTAGAAACAGAGTAAACTGGAAGGAAAGATTGATGTAACTGACATATAGACATGGGTCTGAAAGGCAAAACCTACATGGCTAACTACTGAGAACCTGCCAGGCTTAAAGCACTTGGTAGGAGGGTCTGATTAGAAGCCTTATACATTCTAAAAACCTGATTTTTGTTAACTTGTAAAGAGACAGACTCATGCTAAACAGAATATTGGGACTAAATGTCAATTCAGTTTACAATGAGTGATGTAATTGCCTCAAAAACTTGAATATTTGAATCTACATGACCAGGATAGTGTTTCCCCATGGGCAACTACATGCAAAGTCAAATCACAACCAGTGAATTATTAGCTTAACTAATTTATAAATTTACAATGAGACATATCAGTGAGGTTTTTGCCTCTGGGAATAGCCAATGCTTGCTTTTTGTATATGCTAATACATTCTGTCAGGTTAGGAAATTTGACATATCTCTGCTCTGATTCATTGTATG